ACTGGTGTCACTTTATAGCAGAAAGTGAAGGACTAAAGAGCCTCTTGATGGAAGTGAAAGAGGAGAGTGAAACAGCTGGCTTAAAGCTCAACATTCAAAAAACGAAGATCCTGGCATCAGGTCCCATCATTTCATGGCAAATACATGTGGAAACAACGGAATAGTGCCAGACTTTATTTTCTTGGGCTCCAAAATCACTGCAGATAGTGACTGCAACCATGAAATTAAAAGACTCTTGCTCCTTGGAAGAAAAGCTTTGACCAACCTAGACAGCATATTAACAAACAGAGACATTACTTTGCCAACAAAGGTCCATCTAGTCAAAGCTATGGTTTTTCCAGTAGTCATGTATGGATGTGAGTTGGACTATAAAGAAAGCTGAGCACCAAAAAATTGATGCTTTTGAACTGTGGTGTTGGGGAAGACTCTTGAGAGTCCCTTGGACTGCAAGGAGATCGAACCAGTCAATCCTAAAGGAAATCAGTCCTGAATATCTATTGGAAGGACTGATGCTGAAGCTGAAGCTCCAATACTTTGGCCACCTGATGCAAAGAACTGACTCATTAGAAAAGACCCTGATAATGGAAAAAACTGAAGGCAGCATGAGAAGGGGATGACAGAGGATGAGGTGGTTAGATGGCATCACTGACTCAATGGACATGAGTTTGCGCAAGCTCTGGGAGATGGTGATGGACAGGAAAGCCTGGCGTACTGCAGTCCATGGGATCGCAAAGAGTCGGACATAACCGAGTGACTGAACTGAACTGAACTGATTTAGCACCAAACGTTTTTTTTTTTTAATCTAATGATTTTTTAGTTTTTACATTTGGATTTTGAAAAGATCACTGTGGCAGCCAGGATCACACCTGTGGTTGTGCAGGTTGTACACTGCACAAGGACACACATTTAAGGTAGTAGCATTCACATCATAGACCTCAAAGAACTGTAACTTATTATGAACATTTCTAGCAGATGGCAGTAAAGCATCTTGTCCTAACAAAATCAGGGAAGTCAAGCATCTTGAAGAAGGGGCATCTTTTTCTAAGTTGCACAAAGACGCCATCGGCCATTGGTGGACTTTTTGACATGGGTCTAGATGAAGACAAAACTGGGGACAGGAAAACCACTTAGACAGCCACTACAATTATCGGGGCTGGAAGAGAAGAGAGCTTTAACTCAGGTAATGGCAATAAGCTTGGAGAAGAGGGGCAAAGGTGTGTAAGACTGATGAGGCCACGTGAAGAGAGGAAGGAGAGGTAGGGATGGAGAATGACTCCAGGTCTGTGTGGATGGAACTGCCAGTCCCAGAGGTGATGGGAAGAGCCTGTTTCTGGGAATGATCTAGATTTGGAGATGCAGTGAGTCGGATTTACCTGAAGAACAGCCAGGTGACATCATGGCAGGGCTGGAGGTACGGTGCTGGTGATATGAGAAGGAGGATGGAAGTGGGCGCTGTGACTGAATGAGGTTTCCCCAGAAGACTGCGCAGCCTGAGCGGAGCAGAGCACCCAGACCGAGCCCAGGGACACCACCACCTCGTGGGCAGGTGGACAGACGTGCAGAGGCAAGGGCAGGAGATAGTCCTGTGTTCCGTCTCAGATGTACTGTGGTATCTCCCATCTCCTGTGAGCTGAGCTGTCCATTGTTGGTTTAGATTGTGTACAAAATGAGAGGACACGGGCTCTTCCAAGATTAATGTGCGTGATGAGCTTTCCTGCATCCTTTTTGGCTATAGAAATCATTCTTTTTACTATCGGATACTCAGTTGTATTCCAGATGGTTACTGTGACTGGAAGTATGTCTTGCGAGAAGTGAGAGGTTTGCTGTAGAAATTTCCAGACTTTGTTGGAAGTCTCCACCACTTCACAAATTATGATCTCCCTACAAAATTTGCAGTGAAACATTGCGTGCCATATAAATTCACTTTTCTTATTGATTGCCAGTTCACACAAGGATATTTGTGTTCCCAAGATCAATAAAATCACTCAGGAGTGTAGCAAACTTTTATAGTTGACATGAATATATTTGTCATAACAACATTTGAAAATATTAATAATGATTAACGTTATTTCAAACATTTAAATGGTGAAATCTGGCCCCAGGAATGTTTAGGCTAAACATCCAACAGAGAAAAGAACTTCTAGGTCCAGATTTTCTGCTGTGTATTGTTTTTTTTCTCTTTAAAGAAAAAAAGTTCTACCTCTGCTTTTGCACTCAAGCACACAATCAAGCTTTTCCTTCCTATAAATTTTTTCCGAAGAGTTAGTCCAAGAGCCCAGATGCACACGAGCCAGCCTCACCTGTGGGCCTGCATTGCGCCTCCTGACAAATTGCTGCCTTTAGCCTCTTCCTGTGGCCACGTGCAACGAGGGCAGATTTTCATTTTGAGAATCCAGTCTTTGCATCTGTCTATCAAGCTGAAAATAACCTGACCTTTAGGGGCTTCCTGAAGGCTGCAAGCCTGGGCCGCAAGCTTCCCATTAGCCCTGCCTCTTATACTGATGGTTAATTTGATGAACCCTGGAGAGGATCCTTAGCTGCCTTCTCTAAATGCTGGTGACAGAGGCAGGACAGTTATGGTCCATGATGCTAAATGAAATTCACCTGTTCAGAAGCCTAAAACTCAGAGGCCCATTTCCACCCATCTGGACAAAGGGGTGAGTGGAGTGCTGCTTCCTCCCAGGATTGGGGCCCCTAGGATCAGCAGGTATAGGAAAGTCCTTTTAATTGTGCTCAGTGGGGCGTTATACATTTCAACCTAGAGTCATAACATAAGCCTATTTGTGAAGACTTTACAATGACACCTCTTTGGATGGGTTCCCTTTTGTATCATTTGACTGATTGATTGATTTTTTGGCTGTGCTGAGTCTTCTGAGTGGGCTTTTCTCTAGTTGGGGCGAGCAGGAACTACACTTCTTGCAGCGCACGGGCTTCTCATTGTGGTGGCTTCTCATGTTTTGGAGCACAGGCTCTGGGGCACTCAAGCTTCAGTAGTTGTAGCACATGAGCTCAATAGTAGTGGTTCTCAGGCTCTAGAGCCCAGGCTTAAGAGTTATGGTGCACGGGCTTCGTTGCTCTGCAGCATGTGGAATCTTCCCTGACCAGGGTTCAAACCAGTGTCGCCTGCATTGGCAGAAAGATTCTTTACCACTGAGCCACCAGGGGAGCCCTACTGGGTACCCTTCTAAAGAAAAGTTGGGCAACAGTCTGAAGGCAGCAAACCAGATATCTAATATGGCATTCATTTCAAATGCTCTTGTGTTCCAGTCCCAACAAGCCTGCTCATATTTTTCAAACTTCAGTGCCTCAATCTTTGATTCAGAAAATGCCATGACTGTGTAAATGAATTGTTGGTAAACACCATATTCCTTGCTTAATAACCTGGAAAAGATGTTGTGAGAATGAATTTGCAGTGATTTAGCGCTTTTCATTATGGAAATGCCATATAAATATTTAACTCTAATGCTTATTTTATTCTAATTTTTTGTTAATCACATTTACTTAGTTAATATGGCATATTTATGCCAAGTTTTTATTTTATTGCCATAGATTTTATGAATGATGGCAATTGCATGTGTTGTTTTATTTGAAATTAGGTTGATCGTATAAACTCATGCAAAATTGTCTGTTAATTTTAGGGCTTTGTATATATGCCATTGTACCAGCAAATCCCCTCAACACACACACGTACACACACACCTGCACACATACATACATATAACACATTCATGCACATACAATTACCCCCACCCCCACATATAACACATTGGCACTTTGCCTCTTCCTCTAGGGAAGGAATTCTTTCTAGGGAAGGAATTTTTTTACAGGTTCATTCATACTTTTGAAGGCAGACAAATTTGATTTAGCAAAACATTCTTCTAAAATTGAGAGAAAATGAAAAAAATAAATAAATGTGGAAGGAGAAAGCATTCAGGAGTATAAACCAATTCTATGGATTTATTTTAAAAAAATTTGACCCCAAAATTTTGATAGTATGTGAAATACTTTTAGGAATATTATTTTCTTTAAACTTTTTCATATTTTTCAAATGATATGTTTGCTAAAGTCAGAGCCATGGTTAGGTCCTGAGGGATATGTGAAAAACCCCTGGGGCCCAACAAACCTCCCTGCCTAGGTCTCAAAGGTATTCCCTGTAGGAATTCACCTTTTGGGTTGAGCAGTTCCTCACCCGCTGAGTATAAATCAGTTCTTCCTATCCACTTTCCTTTGGGACATAAGGGACTAGGGGCATCAAGTGAAGAGGAAGGAGATTCTGAAAGGGGTCTCAGCTCTCCTCAGATATGACCGCACACTGAAGGAAACTTGGGTTTTACGTTAAGGTGATGTTTTAATAAGGGTTAACTTCTGCTGAATGTGGCTTAAACAGGAGAGTTTCTTCTTCTTTCATACAAAAGAAGTCTATGGAAGACAAGGAGGCTCCATAATCATAAGAGATTCTGGTTCCTTCTATCTTGTTGCTCTGTCACCCACAACTTCTTACTCTTGGACAAAGGTGGCTGCTCAAATTCCAGCCATCGTGTCCTCAGTCTGCCAACAAAGAGGGAAGAAGAGCACTGTCCTTTCATTGACAGATACTTCTCAGAAGTACCATACAACGTGACCGCTTGCCTCTCATTGGCCAGATCTTTATCACATGACCACATTTATCAACAAGGGAGGCTGGGGAATACTGTCTTCATTCCCTTGATTATGGGCTCAGCAAAAAATCAGAGGTCTATCTGCTAAGAAAGATGGGGGAGAATTAATGTCAAGGGACAATTAGAAGACTTTGCCACTGGATCATATATCAGGTCTTGCTAAAATATCTTACATGTCTGTGACCTGAGTACTCTTCAGTTTACTGGATTTCTTTCCAGGCCCAGACATAAAAATCGCAAATGAGTAAAAGTGATCAAACTCAAAGACCATTTCCAAAGAAAAGCTTTGGAAAGCTGTGACCCCTTTCTAGAATGCCTATTAACCCTCCCTTGAAATTTCAGCGGAAATTCTAGAATTGGCTGGGAATGCAGCAAGGGACAACAAGAAGGCCCGGATAGCCCCAAGACACATCCTGCTGGCTGTTGCCAATGACGAGGAGCTCAACCAGGTATGTCTGAAGCATTGACACCAGCCACCAAATGGGTTTGCCAAACACATTACTGCTTGTGGACCCAGCTGGTTAGAAATCCTTCCTGCTATAGTGCCCAGTCACATTTACACTGAAACATTCAGATAGTGTAGGATTGAGATTCAAAATAAAATTGTCTCTGGAATAGACTCCATTATATATCCTGAATCTTGCCAGAGCTTCGCTTCCTCTTTAAAAGCAAGCTCTGTGTGTTGCTAGAGGAGGTGCAGTACACACGTGTTCTCTTTACAGGTTCTTCACCTAAACTTTCTTGATGATTTTTCTGATGAGGGCAGAAATGTCCTTCTTTCTATATCAAAACTAACCCTTTATACTTTAAAACTGATTCCAAAATCAAGTAAATTCCCACCCTCATCCCCCCACCAAAGATGTGTGAGGTAGCAGGTGGATAGTATAAGAACTTTCATTTATATTTATTTTCTGGTCTTATCTTCTCAACCTGTTTGTGGCTAAGAATCAGTTCCTGTTTGAAATCCAACATGAACTGATATTTTCCGAAAATAAAATAAAAAGTAATTACTAGAAAAATTAAGACAAAAATACACAAACTACCAGCTACAATTTTGTTGTTACTAGATCCAATAGATATACAATATCTCTATCAACTTATTAGACACTTCCTCATGATTTCTGTACTGCTTTTGCCACAGATGGGTAACTAATAGCTTGTGGATGGGCCCTGGTTGTAGACCACACTTGGAGTAGCGCTGCTATAGAATGTGCAGAATGTATTAGTATGGTAGTTCATGCTGATTAGTTAGAGTAAACAGATATCCATTGGGAGGTGCACGGTCAAACATATTTTACTGATGGAATGCATGATCAAAGGAGTGAGGAAGGTTGTTAACTGAGTCTAGCCCTTGCATTAACCTTTGAACCCTACTTTGTCAAGCTGTGCTCCTACGTCTGAAGCTCTTTATCCTCTGTTATGTCTGGAATTTCCGAGCTCTGGGCAATATCCCTGGTTCCACCCTGTCTATGCTTTCATTTGACTTTGCTTGTTTTGTTTTCCGTACAAAATTGTGGATTGCCTTGCTACCTACCGAGAAAAGCCCTACCCGTGAGGCAGGGAAAACCTGTTAAATCGTGTGTATCGTGCACTTTCTTTGGAAAGCAGAGAACAGATTTAACACTTTCTTTGCCAACAGTTAGAATCGTTTTAAACCCAGAACCAACGTGCTCTTTGCTGTCTGAGCTCACACAACGTCTTTCTTCAGCTGCTAAAAGGAGTGACCATCGCCAGCGGGGGCGTCCTGCCCAGAATCCACCCTGAACTGCTGGCCAAAAAGCGAGGGACCAAAGGCAAGTCAGAAACTATCCTCTCCCCTCCCCCAGAGAAAAGAGGAAGGAAGGCCACGTCAGGAAAGAAGGGGGGAAAGAAATCAAAGGCTGCCAAACCACGGACATCCAAAAAGGTAAGCCTACTGGTATCTGTGAGCCCCGGACACTCACAGAACAGGAGGGAAATTGAACCATCCAAAGAGGAGGATGTTGCCAGCATCCCCAAAGGACTTGGGACTTGCCTCAGCTTGGTACCAGGGGTGGGTGGGGGGAAGAAATGTTAGGAATGTCTGTGAGAAAGAATAAAGGGGGAGCTTCTTGGCAGCCCAGTGGTTAAGACTTCACCTTCCACTGCAGGGGAGTATGGGTTTGACCCATCCCTGGCCGGGAAGCTAAGATCCCACATGCCTGGAAGCCAGAAAACCAAAACGTAAAAGCAGAAGCAATATTGTAACAAATTCAATAAAGAATTTAAAAATTAGCTACGTCCAAAAAATCTTAAAAAAAAAAAAGAGTCTTTGAGACCAGCTCAGATAATAATGCAGGGTCTACTGGAGATTTCCAACCCCCCCAAAATGGTGGTTTTCACGTTTACGGACCCCTTCTACTGCCCCCACCAAAATCTTCAGTGAGAGATGCTGGCCTGGAACACTACTTCCCACCTCCCCCATGTGGCATACTGACACATCTCTAGCCTTCCACAGAGAGTCTCCAAGTTCAGCCACTTGAATAACCTGATATGCTAAGTAGCTATAACTCAGAAATACCATTTGTGGAGTCATAGTTTTCATATGCTGCCCAGTACAGCAACTACTAGCAACATATGGCTATTTAAATTTGAGTTTAAATTAATTAAAATGAAATAAACATCAGTCCCTTGGTCGCCCCAGCCACATTTCACATGCTTGACAGTACCAAGCAGCATAAAGGTAGAACATTCCCACGAGGGAAGGAAGTTCTGTTGGACAGCACTGCCCTGCGGGTTGCAAGTTTTCATTCCTCGGACCTCTGTGATGACTAAAAAGATGACAAAAGAGTTCATTTCTCGGCTGCTGTGCCCCAGGGAGTCCTGGGGAGAAGGGAGATTGAACAGTGTACTATGAATGACCCCAGCCTCCATAAGGTGCAGGTGTTGAAAAGAGCAAGAATAATGTACCTGTGTCCAGGTTTGAGTAAGGACTGTGGATGCATAAGAATCCCTTAAATACACTTTATTTCTTGCAGTATGCTTTTTTTCCCCATATTGGTATCACTTGCTTCCCTCCATCAAAAACACCTGACCACTTCCTTTTATATCCAATGGGGTGGTAACCAAGGGAAAGACTTAAAAGCTACTTTGGGCTTTTTCTGGATGATTTCTCATCTGTCCTTCTGGTTTCTACCAACAGTCCAAACCAAAGGATAGCGATAAAGAAGGGACTTCAAATTCCACCTCTGAAGACGGGCCAGGGGATGGATTCACTATCCTGTCTTCTAAGAGCCTTGTTCTAGGGCAGAAGGTAATAAAGAAAGTTGTAATGTGCTGTCATAAAGCACTACTGTTTATAAGCAATGATGCCACCTTCATCCGTTCTTCCCTGATACAACTTTCACTCTGGTCTTGTATTCATTTTTAAACTAAAAGGCTATGGCAACGTCTGCATTATGAGGACAAACAGCCCTTTAGTGCTGAGAATTGTTTATGCTGACATTGGTCAGCCAGTGGATCTTTCTGCTCAGTATCTTTCTGTTTCCCATGTCCCAGTTATTCCTGTGCTCACTGAAAAAATCCATAGCTAACTTTCTCAACCAGCCTTTGGGAGGCCTGCTTTACATGGTGTGATGTAATTTATCATAGAAAGAAAATAGAAAGATATGTCCCCTGAATATCCCTGGTGTTAGAAGTGAATTATTTGCCAATAATTCAGTCTGCTTGCCTTTCTAGGCTGCAGAAAGAAAACAAACTGGGTTATACATTTGAACAGTTTTCAGCAGCACAACAGCAGCCCCCGCCAAACATGCAGATAATTCATTCCCACAAGCATAACAGACAATTTATCTACTAAGTCAACTGGGGCTGCAATAAGACACGTGTGGAAAGAGTCAGTTAATCATATCTCGGGTAGCTAATGTTTGCAGCCTGACAGTGGTGGAACCTCTTTTGAAGCCATTGGCAAGAGCATGTTTTGAGAAGCGCATCAAAGTGGCGGGTTCCTAATTTATCATTGATGAAAACAGGGGAGCAAAAGGTGGAAGTTATGTCCGCTCTAGGGGCTGTCCGTGGTTATGAGATGATTCGCTTTCTCTCACTTAAATAGGGGAGCAAGGAGTTCTTGCTCAGGTGGGGAGATGATGGAGAATGGTTTCCATTCCACTCAGTTCACGCCCCTAGGGCAGCATTTCACAAGTGTGGCTCCAGGGTCCCCAAAAGACAAGGTGGCCATATGTAGGCAGGTCAGAATCCCCGGAGCCCATCACTTCTCTCCCGCAGAAGTGGTTGGCTTTGTGTCCCTGCCCCCAGAGGTATGTGCTGCTCTGAAAAGAAGGCCGGGAACTGAGTAGGCGCTTCTTGCAGAAGCTACTCAGAAACTACACCGTCCAACACCAAGACCACCCAGATGAGAAATGAGGGCATGATCTATAGGGAGGAGAAAAGGAAGGGAGGTCCCACTCCTGTTCCTGGAAGGGGAGGCGGATTTGTTGCGTGCTGCTAACCTCAGGGTGAAAATCAAATCCTCTGAGCTCAAAAGAGCCTACTGAAACCACACACCCAGGAAACTTGAGAGGGTCGCTCCATGTAGAGCCCTTTCTGTTGGCAGCCAGTGAAAGAATGCACAGATGTGAAGGTTTTCCATAGGACTTATCTCATCCAACTCTCCATCTTCTCTTCCCAATGCAGCTGTCCTTGACCCAGAGTGACATCAGCCATATTGGCTCCATGAGAGTGGAGGGCATCGTCCACCCAACCACAGCTGAAATTGACCTCAAGGAAGATATAGGTAAGGTTCTGAGACTTCAGGAGAAGTGCCTTAGAACTTGCCACTGTTCTGGCAAGTTCTCGTGAGGCCGGTCTCTGTCAGCTGGATAGCCTGTCTTGGAGGACCCTGTCAATCAAACTCTGCCTTTGTGTTTAACTGAACAGTGTTAAAGTATTGGGACGTCCCTGGGGCCTCAGATGGTAAAGAATCTGCCTGCAATGCCGGAGACCCAAGTTTGACCCAGGGATCAAAAATTAATTTTTTAATATGCATATATTTTTTAAATTTTTATTGAAGTGTTATACAAAAACAGATCATTAGTGCCCAGCTTGATGAATAAAACTGTGACCAGCATCGTGATCATGAAACAGAACCTTGCCAGCACCCCTCAAGGCCCCTTCATCCCTCGTCCCAGGACCATCCTCTCCGAGGGTAACCACTGTGTTGTCCTCTGTTTTATTTTGTTTTGTTTTGTTTTCTGTGGCTGCGCTGTATGGCATGCAGGATCTTAGTTCCCCCACCAGGGATTGAACCCATGCCCCCTCCAGTGGAAGCACAAAGTCTTAACCATTGGGCCACCAGGGAAGTCCCTACCAATATCCTGTCTTCTAATAGCATAGAGGGGTCTCATCTGTTTTAGATTTTATGTAAGTCATGCAGTATGTCTCCTTTTGTGTCTGGTTCCTTTAGCTCAACTTTGTGAAATCCACGTATGTTGTTGAGCATGGTTGTAGTTCATTCATTTTCTTTACTGTGCAGTGTTCCGTTGTAGGAATATAACAGTTTGTTGATCCAGTGTAGCCCTGGTGGCATGGGGCCGTTTCCAATGTGGGCTGTAATGAGTAGTGTTACTCTAAATATTGTTGTGCTTGTTTTGGGTAAACCTGTACATATATGTTAAGCTGCAGTATTGAGAACACCACTGGTAAAAAGGAAATTGACATCTGGAGCAAGTTAGGCTGTCTGTAAGGCTATACATTGAATTATTTCACCAGTGGATTGCCACCTGTCCCACCATTGGTACCAGGCTAGGTGGAGGAACCTGGGAAGGTAAGCTTCCAGACACTAAAAATAATAAGATGGCAACTAAAGGGTTACCATCTCACTCATTTTTACAAGACAGAAATGAGTAAAGAAAGGGTTTTGGTCCTGGGATACAGGGCTTGCTCCTGAGGTAGGTGATTTGGGGTGAATACTAGTAGCTCAGCCCTGGATGGCGGCACCAGGGGCTCCAGGCTGCCAGGCTCACCTGTGTGTCCCCCTTGGCATCAGAGGCCACTTGCTTTGCTGAAATGGAAATATGATAGCACTGGGTGGGGGAAAACACAAAAAACAAACAACAAAAGCTAGTATTACAGAGAAACAGGATTTCTCATGCACACAGAGATGGTGAAAACTCCTCCACTCCTCAAACCCAGCCCAGACTCTACCAACTGCCCTCAACTCACTGCGTTTGGAAAGACTCTCCCTAGTGGCCTAATCTTTTTTTTTTTTTTTTTCATTTATTTTTATTAGTTGGAGGCTAATTACTTTACATCATTGTAGTGGTTTTTGTCATACATTGAAATGAATTAGCCATGGATTTACATGTATTCCCCATCCCTGTCCCCCCTCCCACCTCCCTCTCCACCCAATCCCTCTGGGTCTTCCAGTGCACCAGGCCCGAGCACTTGTCTCATGCACCCAACCTGGGCTGGTGATCTGTTTCACCCTAGATAATATACATATTTCGATGCTGTTCTCTTGAAACATCCCACCCTCGCCTTCTCCCAGAGTCCACAAGTCTGTTCTATACATAGGAGTCTCTTTTTCTGTTTTGCACATAGGGTTATCGTTACCATCTTTCTAAATTCCATATATATGTGTTAGTATACTGTAATGGTCTTTATCTTTCTGGCTTACTTCGCTCTGTATAATGGGCTCCAGTTTCATCCATCTCATTAGAACTGATTCAAATGAATTCTTTTTAATGGCTGAGTAATATTCCATGGTGTATATGTACCACAGCTTCCTCATCCATTCGTCTGCTGATGGGCATCTAGGTTGCTTCCACGTCCTGGCTATTATAAACAGTGCTGCGATGAACATTGGGGTACACGTGTCTCTTTCAGATCTGGTTTCCTCGGTGTGTATGCCCAGAAGTGGGATTGCTGGGTCATATGGCAGTTCTATTTCCAGCTTTTTAAGAAATCTCCACACTGTTTTCCATAGTGGCTGTACTAATTTGCATTCCCACCAACAGTGTAAGAGGGTTCCCTTTTCTCCACACCCTCTCCAGCATTTATTGCTTGTAGACTTTTGGATAGCAGCCATCCTGACTGGTGTGTAATGGTACCTCATTGTGGTTTTGATTTGCATTTCTCTGATAATGAGTGATGTTGAGCATCTTTTCATGTGTTTGTTAGCCATCCGTATGTCTTCCTTGGAGAAATGTCTGTTCAGTTCTTTGGCCCATTTTTTGATTGGGTCATTTATTTTTCTGGAGTTGAGCTGGAGGAGTTGCTTGTATATTTTTGAGATTAATCCTTTGTCTGTTGCTTCGTTTGCTATTATTTTCTCCCAATCTGAGGGCTGTCTTTTCACCTTGCTTATAGTTTCCTTTGTTGTGCAAAAGCTTTTAAGTTTCATTAGGTCCCATTTGTTTATTTTTGCTTTTATTTCTAAAATTCTGGGATGTGGGTCATAGAGGATCCTGCTGTGATTTATGTCGGAGAGTGTTTTGCCTATGTTCTCCTCTAGGAGTTTTATAGTTTCTGGTCTTACATTTAGATCTTTAATCCATTTTGAGTTTATTTTTGTGTATGGTGTTAGAAAGTGTTCTAGTTTCATTCTTTTACAGGTGGTTGACCAGTTTTCCCAGCACCACTTGTTAAAGAGGTTGTCTTTTTTCCATTGTATATCCTTGCCTCCTTTGTCAAAGATAAGGTGACCATAGATTCGTGGATTTAACTCTGGGCTTTCTATTCTGTTCCATTGATCTATATTTCTGTCTTTGTGCCAGTACCATACTGTCTTGATGACTGTGGCTTTGTAGTATAGTCTGAAGTCAGGCAGATTGATTCCTCCAGTTCCATTCTTCTTTCTCAGGATTACTTTGGCTATTCGAGGTTTTTTGTATTTCCATACAAATTGTGAAATTATTCGTTCTAGTTCTGTGAAAAATACCGTTGGTAGTTTGATAGGGATTGCATTGAATCTGTAGATTGCTTTGGGTAGTATAGCCATTTTGACAATATTGATTCTTCCAATCCATGAACATGGTATATTTCTCCATCTGTTTGTGTCCTCTTTGATTTCTTTCATCAGTGTTTTATAGTTTTCTATGTATAGGTCTTTTGTTTCTTTAGGTAGATATACTCCTAAGTATTTTATTCTTTTTGTTGCAATGGTGAATGGTATTGTTTCCTTAATTTCTCTTTCTGTTTTCTCATTGTTAGTGTATAGGAATGCAAGAGATTTTTGTGTGTTAATTTTATATCCTGCAACTTTACTGTATTCGTTGATTATCTCTAGTAATTTTCTGGTAGAGTCTTTAGGATTTTCTATGTAGAGGATCATGTCATCTGCAAACAGCGAGAGTTTCACTTCTTCTTTTCCTATCTGGATTCCTTTTACTTCTTTTTCTGCTCTGATTGCTGTGGCCAAAACTTCCAAAACTATGTTGAATAGTAGTGGTGAGAGTGGGCACCCTTGTCTTGTTCCTGATTTCAGGGGAAATGCTTTCAGTTTTTCACCATTGAGGGTGATGCTTGCTGTGGGTTTGTCATATATAGCTTTTATTATGTTGAGGTATGTTCCTTCTATTCCTGCTTTCTGGAGAGTTTTAATCATAAATAGATGTTGAATTTTATCAAAGGCTTTTTCTGCATCTATTGAGATAATCATATGGTTTTTATCTTTCAATTTGTTAATATGGTGTATTACATTGATTGATTTGCGGATATTAAAGAATCCTTGCATTCCTGGGATAAAGCCCACTTGGTCATGATGTATGATTTTTTTAATATGTTGTTGGATTCTGTTTGCTAGAATTTTGTTAAGGATTTTTGCATCTATGTTCATCAGTGATATTGGCCTGTAGTTTTCTTTTTTTGTGGCATCTTTGTCTGGTTTTGGAATTAGGGTGATGGTGGCCTCATAGAATGAGTTTGGAAGTTTACCTTCTTCTGCAATTTTCTGGAAGAGTTTGAGTAAGATAGGTGTTAGCTCTTCTCTAAATTTTTGGTAGAATTCAGCTGTGAAGCCATCTGGTCCTGGGCTTTTGTTTGCTGGAAGATTTCTGATTACAGTTTCGATTTCCTTGCTTGTGATGGTTTTGTTAAGATCTTCTATTTCTTCCTGGTTCAGTTTTGGAAAGTTATACTTCTCTAAGAACTTGTCCATTTCTTCCAAGTTGTCCATTTTATTGGCATAGAGCTGCTGGTAGTAGTCTCTTATGATCCTTTGTATTTCGGTGTTGTCTGTTGTGATCTCTCCATTTTCGTTTCTAATTTTGTTAATTTGGTTCTTCTCCCTTTGTTTCTTAATGAGTTTTGCTAATGGTTTGTCAATTTTGTTTATTTTTTCAAAAAACCAGCTTTTAGCTTTGTTAATTTTTGCTATGATCTCTTTAGTTTCTTTTGCATTTATTTCTGCCCTAATTTTTAAGATTTCTTTCCTTCCACTAACCCTGGGGTTCTTCATTTCTTCCTCCTCTAGTTGCTTTAGGTGTAGAGTTAGGTTATTTATTTGACTTTTTTCTTGTTTCTTGAGGTAGGCCTGTAATGCTACGAATCTTCCCCTTAGCACTGCCTTTACAGTGTCCCATAGGTTTTGGGTTGTTGTGTTTTCATTTTCATTCATTTCTATGCATATTTTGATTTCTTTTTTGATTTCTTCTATGATTTGTTGGTTATTCAGAAGCGTGTTGTTTAGCCTCCATATGTTTGAATTTTTAATAATTTTTTTCCTGTAATTAAGATCTAATCTTACTGCACTGTGGTCAGAAAAGATGACTGGAATGATTTCAATCTTTTTGAATT